ATAACTATAGTAGTGGCAATAACAACAGTAGAAGGGCCAGGCAGTGAGCACTGAGCCAGGCACTTTGCACACGCGATGTCATTTTACCCTCACTATTCCATGTGGTAGATATTATTACCTCCTCCATTTAAAAGTTGGGAAACTGAGGCACAGACATACAGAGAAAAAGCAGAACTGGGATTCAAACTGTAGGAGAGGAAAAACTGTTTTCCCTCTACTCGTCTTAGATTCATTGGCCGGGTCCTTATAAATGAGACTGACAGAGGAGATTAGCAAGGGAAAAGCAAGCAGAAGTGTGTTAGCGTGCACATCACAAATGCCCTGGGAGCGCTCAGGGCTGAGACACTCAGGCCTGCTTAGACCTGGAGTTTATATGGCGTGTTAATCAAAGAACAATGTATTTTTAGCAAAGTGACAAGACAAAGGAAAAGGACTTTGAGCTTCTAGGGGCAGCAGATTGTGAGAAGGCAATTATATGGGGAACTAATGACTGGTAAGGGCTAGTTTTACCAAGGTTTGTTATGTTGACTCCTCTGGGGCATATCTGTGATAATAAAGGTCTAGACGTTGTCTCCTATGATTAACTTCCATACTTCCTGCTAGAGAGGGAAGGGAGACAGACCCCTTCACAAATTTATCTCCTGCTTTTAGGCAAATAGGGGGAGGGCAGAGAGTTTCTCTTGTATCTACTATTTCCCAGTTGCCTTCAGCTCAAGAGAATCCTTATGCCAAAATTGTGTATTTTGGGCAGCATACTCTGCTACTCTTCAGCACCCAGGCTTGTCTAATTCCAAAGCCCAGACTTTCAAACCCTACCCAACCTCCTATTCTGTACAAGCTATCCTTGACATTACCTGGTTGTGGGTGATACATCCAAAAAATCAGAAATGGAGTTGCTTGAGTGGACACCCAGAAGACAAAGCCTGGATTAGAGGAGCAATAGCCGTGGGCTGGGAGGGCCTGTGAAAGGGCTGGCATCAGGAAAGGCACATCCTTGGCATCATCTTCCTCACCCCATCTTGTTGCTGCCCAACGCTTTCAGTAATCCAAGAGTAATCACAGAGCCTCTGGAGCACTGGATTCTATGTTTGTTTATTCCTGAAATAACTCTCTTCAGAGAGATTTCCCTTATAACACTTTAACCCAGTTACCTCTCTGTCTCATGATCCCTTCTAGTCTTTATTATTATCTCAGACTGAGAATTTAGAAATATCTATAGCAACAGCAATGGCAGAGAGATTAACAAATGGGATGCCTTGTGGTTTTAACTCTCAAGACATGTAGGTATATTAAAGCTGTGTTCAATGGAGGCTTTTCATTTTCTTCATTTATTTTCGCTTAAACCAACATGGCCAGTGCTATGAGTAGCATACTTTATGCCTATAATACAGCTTTTCCAAGATCTTTCTTCTGTGTTGGCTAGTTAATGGACTTTAATTGCCCATTTCCATTAAAAAAAAAGAAAGAAAAGAAATAAACAGCAGCAGCAGAGGCTTAGCTCTCTGCAGAACAGTTGCTGATGGGAAGGGCAGCAAGAAGCTTGAGTGTAGGTCAGGGAGGGAGGGCTGCAGCTGGATTGATGTTGACCTCGTGTTGACTCGCTTCCTCATTAGTGAGGATGGTAAACAACAAGCTAATTAAATTCTCAGGAAGAAGGAAGATGAGATGGCGGAGAAAAAGAAATCATGAAAAGGAATCCAGAAAGCAGGCCAGGAGTTCATTCATATTGAAAACACGGGAGTAGATAACACAAAGGAGGCATGCTTTGAGCTGTAATGCTAATAGAGTGCTCAGTGGCTAATGGAAGGCTAATATTTAGATGTGATGATGGTGCTGGGTAAAATTAAACTAGGGCAGCCTTAAATGTCATACTTCGGGGGAAAACACGGAAGCTTCTGCAAAAGAGGATGCAGGAACCATTCTTGTGATTCATTACATGTTCCTTCAATTTTATGTTCTGCTTCAATAACATAACTGTAATTGTGTTCTAATTGTGGACACTTGTATGTCTCTGATTTTAATCAGGTGCTTCCATTAAAGTGTATAGAGCACATACTGAGGGTGATTTCTCTTGTTCTACGACCAATTCCCTCCACCGAGAATCACGGTCACTGTTACTGCTAATGCCTAATATGGATTAGGCATCTACTAGTTATGGCACTGTACTAAGCATGTTCCAGGGTTTATTGCTTTTAATAAATAGCTTTGTGGGGCAGATTGCCCAAGTTACATAGCTAGTGAGTGTTTAAACTGGGACTTGGACACATGACGGCCTAATTCCAAAACCCCCATATTTCCCCATTGATGAAATTGGTTCTATCTAGTACTATTGGTGAAATTACACAATTCATTTGTGTTCTGTCTGGCACCTTGCTTATCCTGGGACCAGGAGCACATATCTGTAAAGTGATATATGTGTGTTTCTCTGTGTGTGTATTCTGAGGCTTAGCCTAAACTCCTTCTTTTACAAAGTTTTCCACAATCTCCAAATGACTTTTCACTCTCCTTTGATTCCATTCCACTCATTTTACTCTATTTCATGTAATTAATCAAGTCTATATAAAAATCCATTGCAATTGAGACCAGTAATGTTGAAGCAAACATTACTGAGGACCATGTATACAAACTACTGTTAGTACAGTATCTCTTCTGTAAATATGTCTTATTTCCTCAACAAAAAGTAGAGATTTCCTTGGTGGTAAGGGTTGCATTATTGTAATATCTTTTATCTTCTTCCATATAAAGGCTTATTGGTTGATAGCTAACTGGGCCAATTGAAGAATTATCCTATTACTTGGCCTGAAAATTTAAATCAAAAGATTTATTAGTTTTTATTATATTTCTTGTTTGCTTCATGCAATATAAACCAAATTCTTCATGTTGTTGCTTAGGTATAATTCTGTTTTGCTGATAATAATTTTCATTTATTGTTCTTCATATTAAATCTCTTTCACAAAAACAACCCTGTGATACATTCTCTTTGCCTTTATTTAAGTTTCTGATTTCACTTTTCCTCCTACATCTCCCTCATACATTCTCTTCATTAACAGAGTTTTCTTCATACACATACGACATGCATTTCTAAATTAAGTTTCTTTCATTGGGCAGGGTGGATAGCTCTCAAGTAATTACCCAAGAGACCCCCACCACTGGAAAAGAAACCAGAATAGCTAATAACTAAAACACACAAAATAGGGAAACCTTTATTTTCTCTGTAATTTTCATTTTCGAGATAATTGTTTATTTGCTTAATTGGTTCTGCATGAAATCCTTGTGCTCTTTATCCTTGGCATGTTGTCACTTCAAGATTGTTAGTCTTTATTGAAAGAAAAAGGGGAACAATTAAATATGAAAGGTGAACATTTATAACCACAGGGGACAGCTGGAGTTTATATGATGTGACAATTTTCTTTTTCTGCTACGGATTTGTTGCACCTCTGCAGGGAATGAAGCAAATTAGTGGCTGTGACAGTAATGTTTTATTTTATACAAATTTTTACCCTTGAAATATAATTATTTTATTGATTGTAGGGATGAATAACGCATATGATTGCAGCCCTGGCCTAGGTATAGAATCCTTTATAATGCCTTTTCTTGATGTCCCTTTGGTTCTCAAAGAATGGGTTTTTCACAGTGTTACTTCTCAGGGCCTTCGGACTTGATTAATTAAATTTTTCCACTTCACGATTCATTAACTTGATATCCAAATATTTTGAACATTTTTCATATGAAAGATGACCTCACTGGATCTCCGAATTAACTTCCATTATTATGATCCTGTTCTCTTCATTTTTAATTTATTTCTAATTCATTGTTTTCTGTGAAGTCCTCCTCTTGTCCACTTTGGCTGCTGTTGGATGCTGACGTCCTCTTGTAAATGAACTCCTCTTAGGTTGCAGGCTCGTCATTTGGAGCCTCACGTCTTTTGTGCCCTTCTGTGTGTGACTGACCGCAGTCTCTGATCGCTCACCGTTAGTTTTCCACGTCCCCTAATCGCATGACAGGGGAGCGAAGAAAGGCCCCGAGAAAAGAGGATCATTGAGTCCAAGCCCTCATGCGAGCGAAATGGGTTAAGCGTTAAGGATGCTGCTTTCGTTCTCAGAGGGGAGACTTTCTTTTCTCAGAGTATGAAGAAGATTTTGAAGCAGACGAGGAGAAGCGAGATGAGAGAGCTAATAAAGAAGGACGGGCTGATGGCCGAACGGATGAAATGGCACAGTCACCCTCGGACGGTGACAAAGATCACGTAGGCCCTGGAGAGAAGAGCGAAGCGTCATCGCAGCAGGCGCCGGGTGCTGGTGGCGGTGGGAACGGCCAGGGCGAGGGGTGCTCTGAGAGTGAGCTGGAGGACGACACACAAGGCAAGTCCTTTATCCTGTCCCAGGACGTGGGCTGCCTCACCAGCGCCTACGACCTCGCTTTCCCGGGCTTTACTGAGAGAGCCTTCTGTTAAGGGGATGCTGGGCGCGTGCTGCCGGAGCCAGAGGAGGCCGATCAGCCGGCCTTCTGCAGACATCCAAATTGTGGAGCCACTCTTTCACCCTTCCTCTTGCCTTAGTTTGCTAAATTTTCTTTTCAGCAGGATGTCAGGTGAAATTTGTAGTGACACATCTGTTTACTTAGAAAATTATTATTTTTTAAGTAATAATTTACACAACACACACACATGTACACACACACGTACACACACACCCCCACCACACCTGTACCCCCACATATCATTTTGTGGCTTTGATAAGAATGAAAAGTAGCTTCACCTCAATTAAAGGAAAAGTTGAAGATTCCCGTCTTAGGGTCATGTTTTTTCTCAACTTACCTTGAACACACGATGCTGGAATATTAGTTTCATGAAAGGATTATCTCTCTTGGAAAGGTGGCCTCCTCATAATCTTCAGGCCTAAAATAACTTTGAATGGTCATAGTGTAAACAGATATTTTCTGTTAGAGAGAGAAACCCTCATCATCTGACATATATCTTAAAATTTTAAGACCCTTTTAAAGACTTTAATTCACCGAAATAATGACCAATCAGAGAAGGGACCCATTTACTTTAGACTACAGAATGAGGTCACATTATGGTGACTTTTGGGATTACACTTCATTTTCCCCATCTTTTCACCTCTCAAAATGTTTTCTGTATGAAATCTCAAATTTTTTAATTTAAGGACTATATTAGGATAAAATAAGAGTAAATTAAGTAATCAAGTAATCATCTGAGCAAATATTTATAGTTCTTCTCTCTTCAAGACAGAATTCACATCCTAGCTGTTTGGGTTCAGTGGTTAGAGCGTTAGCCCAGATTCGATTCCAGTCAAGGGCACATACCTGGGTTGCAGGTTTGATCCCCAGCCCTGGTTGAGGGCGAGTGCAGGAGGCAACCAATCAATGTGTATCTCTCACATCGACGTTTCTCTCCCTCTGTCTCTCCCCCTTTTCTCTCTCTAAAAAAAACAATGGAAAAATATCCTTGGTGAGGATTAATAAAAAACAAGAAAGAATTCAAGCAAACCTATTCTAAAATTTCATGCACACATATACAAGGTGATAAAATAAAGAACAGAAGTTAGAGTGGAAAAGAAGATAATTTTACTGGGAGCCGTAGATGAGATCATGACTGTGCTTGAACTAAAAATTTAATCCTAAACTTTCTGACAAAGAGTGAAGCATAATGTAAACATTTAGAATGATGTTCTCTATCAGTAAACTTGTAAACAAGATTTACTCCAATTTTTATTACAGTTGGTCAGACATTGAAATAGTTTTTGTAAAATCTTCAACTAGGCTTTTTCTGTAAATTCTCTTAATACCTACATTTTATGTTTCTAGGTGTGCCTAATATATAAGTTCTTTTCTCAATGTGAATGTCAATATTGAATTTAAGTATATAGTGCTATATGACATAGAGAAAGTTAAAGAATTCTATGGAAAAGCGATGTCACCTGAATCAAATTTTAAAGAAACTATACAAGTGACTTGAACCAGGAAAAGGATTGGAACTGTGTTTGCATATACATATCACTGGTTCAAAATACAAAGGGCTCAATTTTTTAATTTCTTTAGTAATGGTGGGAAATTATCAAGTCTTGGTTTCATAAAGATTCAGTGCATGAATTTAATACATGATCATCTGGGATTATTTTTGTGCTAAATAATCATATTGCTTTCTTGGGATCAAGTGGATTTTTTCTAAGAATAATTTGTTTTTTATGTTCAAACGGAGGGTGTAGGTAGTACTTAGATCTTGAAAACTTTAATCATTTAGACATGTAATTACTGAATAACTGACAATGATACGTAAGCTATAACACTGAATATTGCTTAACATATAAACAACTAGAATCCTAAGTTTGGAAAGGCATACTATAGGAATTATTTATTAAGACTCTATTTTGTGCTAAGCACTGTGCTAAATATTTACATGAATTATCTGATTTACCTGAAACAACCCCAAAAACAGGTACTCTTTCTTTTTATCTCTATTTTACAACTAAATAAACTTGGAAATGGTAAGATTAAGTAACTCACACAGCCAGAAAGTGGTGGAGCCAAGACACAAACATTACCCAACTTTAGAGCCCGAATCTTGGAGAAAAAACAATATAATGTTTCTCCAAATAAGAAAAATCTCCGTTTATCTAAAATTAAAGCAAATCCCTCCATTAAAAGGATTATGCTTCCTTAAGAATAAACATTTTAGAGGCATTTATCTTGAGCTCTTTATCTTATCCTGTTCTCTAGCCTCTGTTTTTGTTTGTATGTTTGTTTTGTTTTGGTTTTATTTTTTTATTTTTTATTTTTTTTAAATATATCTTTATTGATTTCAGAGAGAGGAAAGGGGAAAGAGAGAGAGAGATAGAAACATCAATGATGAGAGAGTCATTGATCGGCTGCCTAGCCCGCAACCCAATCGATTCCAGGTTGATGCTCAACCGCTGAGCCACGCCCAGCTGGGCTGTTTTGTTTTTAAACAGAGGGAATAGAAATGGAGATTTTCTAATTTTGCCCAAGCTCCTGTTTCTCCTCCCTGGATCGACTTCCCGGCCTATTCCCAGGCCTTTTCCTCAGTTCCAGCTCATCCCTCTCTTCTGACACGTTTCTACTTCAGCAGCCTTCACTGAGCTCTTTATTTTATGAAACTCTATAATTCAGTTCAGTTTCATTTATTGTTTTTTGTGTGTTAAATTTTGCTCAAGTTAATTATACAAGTTAATAACACACAAATTAATTACCCTATGAAAGCTAGGATTGTGTGTTATCTTTGTTATTCCTCAGAGAGGTTATTTCCTAAAACATCTTTTGTAAATATTAGGCAATTACTGGATTTTTTTTTTTTTAACACCAAGAACACTAAGGTACTTTTGTTAGGGCCATAAAATCTAATTATGTTTATGCAATATGATTATTACTGGAATATTATTGAAAAAATTGTACAGACTTTGCTGCATTAAATAGATATAGAATATAGAATATTTTTAATAGATAGGTAATGCAAGCTGTTAGAACATGTAAAATCTAGTCCATAGTGCTGTGGAGTTTAAGAGGCAATAATTAAATTGGCCAACGATCTAATTTTGTTCTTTCAATAATGACGTTATTAAGCTATTTTTTTTAGAGCTCCTTTGCATCTTTGGTATTTACATCAAAATTTTGACATTATTCTGAAATAAAATATCATTGTTTATTAATCTTCCTTTCTCCACCTTCAGGCTCTTTTACTTTTCCACGCCTTTGTTTTGATAACCTGACCTTATGTTATTTTAAAACATGCCTTTTAGTGTGTGGAATATCAGATTTACAGATTTCATCCAGCAAACAAGTAGCATGTATTAAAAATGATAATGGCATGATAGGTTCCTTGGAACACTCTATTGAAAAGCCAGACAGCATTTCATCTTCAAAAGCGTACGAGGCATATTGTGACCACTGAATCCCAGACACCAGTACATCCCTTTTATTGACATGATTAAGAATCTTGCTCTTAGTATTTGGATGTGTTTCATTTGAACCTGCCTGCACCTGTTCCCAGAGGGCAAACAATTGCCCAGGCTGTCACTCTTGTGACAAGTGGGCCCCATTTAAACTGCCAGCTAACAATTGCGCCGCCCGCCTTGATGAATACACTGTGCTGAACAGCGTGTGAGTGATAGAGTACTGGGGACTGAGAGCTGACTCAGAGAAGACCCTGCTTTAGGAATGATGTGTGAGACTTCCCATCGTTTAAAAAGGACAGCTTCCTTTGCTCTGCATTTGTGTTGGCAACCCCGGTGGCTAATTCACCAGTTGAAAATATATTGTCGTAGATGAATGTTGTAAGGTTGAGGGGAAAGTGTCATGTCACTGAGAATATACTTTCATCCTTTTGTGGACAGTTTGGATGATAGTGCCTATGAGTAAGAGGTAAAGACTAAGTAGCTCCTGATGAGAAAGAGCTAAGAGGGGGAGGGGGTTGGGGAGACAGAATTTGTTCCCAGGATACAAAAAAAATAAAAATAAAAAATTAAAGCAAGTATTTTTTTCTAGTAAGATATTTCCCTTGGGCTATTTTCCAGTCTGTTGAAGAAGTAGGCCATAGAGAATTTTAAAATCCCACAGTCACAAAAATATTCTGTTTACTTGACTTACAGACCGCAAGAATCTATTTCTCGCCTTATGGGCTTGAAGAGATGCATATGAGAGAAGGCTGCTCCTTCTATGTGATAGTATACATGGTATGAAACCACACTCTCTGAGCGTCAGTGTAACTTGTCTGCTCCTAGAGCCAGAAAAGATTAAAGGAAGATTGTAGGAGGCCTTCTGGTCAAAGTCTATGTGTGTGACTTTTGCATGATTAATCAAACTTGTTTTTTTTTATGGTAAAAATTCTTTAATCTATAATTATGTTTTAGTTGTTGAACTAGGAAGTCATGGTAAATATTTAAATGCAGCAACATCTTTTAGTTCACATGAAATATTTCCATGAGGTATTTCTTTAGTTTTGAATCTGCCTTGTTCATAGCAAGGGCACTGCCCAGGCACCTAGTAACATCTTGTGGAATGCAAGGCTGGTTGACCAGATTAACGGATAAATGTAAAAAGACTTAAGCAGTAGCCTAATGTGACAAATGATTTGATTATATTCTCAGTATTTTAAGTGTTTGTTTTAATGTTTATAAAGTGAAATTAAAGGTAAATGTAAAGGAACTTTTAAGCTTGCTTTCCCTTTCTTCCTGCTATATCTTCATTTACCTGTAGATATTTATTCCTACAAAGTAATGTATATATTTGTCTCATTGATGAATTAAGTAATGAATGATCAGTATGAGAACATTCTCCCATAATACATATAACTACTTACTGTTCATAGATGGCATTTCATGATTTCTATTTGTATATTCATTAAGCATATATTCATTTGACTATTTATTGAGTGTAAAGCACTTGTCTCATTAGGTATACATGAAAATATTGACTGAATCACAGTATCTAACATAAAATATAAACAGATTTTTATGGACATGAATATAATCATGATAGAAGTATTATACAAGTAATAGTGTAAATATAAATTGATGTGTCAGAGTTAATTTGAAGAAAATAGGAATAGCATGTATGCAGATTTTGTTGTGAACCTTTGGACTAAGGAAGGGGAAAGAGAGAGATAATTCATGTTAGAGTTCAGAAGAGTACACTGAGTTGGGATACATAGTATGTCATCAGGGTGATCTAAATTTTTAACTGAATTTATGTATTTGTGCACTTAAATCAAGGTGTCTGTATGGGCTTCAAGCTAGTAAAGCAAAAACAAAGTAGTTAAAATTAGAACACTGAAGGAGGTGAATTTAAACTGTGGTAAAACCATGTTCCATGCTAGGGAGTGAGGAAATGATTGAAAACTAAGGTCAGAACATGTAATTTGTTTAAAAAAGACAATATGGCTTTTGAATATAATAAAAGCATAATAGCAGCTTCTGAGAGAGCTATCCTCAGTCACTGTTAGAATGAACAAACACCTTAATACACATGTACAGTTGATGTATTGTGCTCATGCAAAAGGACTCAATGTCCATTTGGGGTGTGGAAGCAGTGCCCTGGCCTGCCTTTTCTTCCATCCTATCTTCGATACCTAGATCATGGCCTGACACATAGGAAGTGCTCATTGTGTGTCTAGTGAATTAATCTATGCAAGCAGCTAGGAGGGTGAAGGGCAACTCAGAGCCTCAGTATGGAGGAGGGAAAGCAGAGTTTACCCTGAATTTTTTGAGCAGGAGTGCTATTAATTGTGGATGTGTGTGTGGTTGGTGCCCAACATGTATATCACGTTGGGTAGACAAGGAAGTGTCAACAGTAGAGATTACTGGTGTGTGTGTGTGTGTGTGTGTGTGTGTAATTTTTGTGGTTGCCCTCACAGTGTTAAGTTACAAGTAATAAATTATATATACTTTCATACATATAATATCATGGTCAGTATTATAAATAATAATGGTTTTGACAGCTATCTTTTGCTTTATATTCATATTTAGAGTATTCTAAATGAACTCTCTCTGGGTTCTAGAGTAGTGAAAAAGCTAAGAATGACCACCAGAGATATAAAAGGGAAGACAGACTATGATTCCATGAGTTCTGATGTTTTGAAGGGAATATTTTCCGTTTGCCATTCTGGGTGGAAACGATGGAAAGTTAGCTAAGAGAAGCAATGGTAGATGCATGACAGTAGGTGCTCTCTGCCTGAAGGCCATTTGGCATGTGAAGAGGTCTTGGTTTTAAGATAGTGGGTCATTACCAAAAGGAATGTGTTTTACAGATCTTGCTAGTTTATAGCTAATGCATATTGGGCATTATTTAACTTCTCTGGGCCTTATGTTCTAGAAGATCTAGAACATTCTAGAAAAAGAAGATAACTATTCCATGGAATTAAATGAGATGCTTAAAAAGTGCTTACCTGATTGTTTGGTACAAGTAGCTACATAATTATGATCAAGGTTTATTTTTTTTTCCCTCAATAAATGGTAACAGCAATCATTACTCTTAATATAATGTACAGGATGAAATCACAAGAAAGAAATTTATTAGAATATATTTAACATGTATAATTTTATAGAGGAAAAAACTGAAAGTCATAAAGAAATGATTCTTTGATTTGATTAGGCTATATTTTTTGTCATGTGATTTCTGCAAGGACCTATGGAGAGAGCAAGTAGAATTATCCTTATTTTACAGCCAAGCCATTAGAGAAGTTAAGCAGCATAAACATAATCTAAGCTAATAAGTAGCTGAGTCAAATATTGAAGCACTTAGGTTTGTCTTACAGAAAAACATATTATTTTCTCTCAAGCTTATGTTGTGTAAAATAGTGATGCAGAAGAAGGAAGTTATCAATGAATAGTTATAAATGACATGAAAAGAGAAGACAGTGAAGAATTTAGTGATTGAACGTAGAGAGAGAAACCTCAAAGATCCTACTTAGGACCTGGAACAGGGGCACCAAACTTTCTGGCTTTGGCCAAGGGCTCAGGTAACAAGTGCAGATGACTTTTTAAATTTTTATTTTATTTTTTACCATGAAGACCAAGAGCAGATTCTTTCAGCTTCAATACTTGGAGGGAACATAAGAAAGACAAATGGAATTGGGTGGGAGGCAGAATTATTACCAACATGCCTCTGAGATAACTTTTTGCCTCTTAATGACAAAAATATTTGCAAATGTGCCCTCAAAGTTCTTTTATATAAAACTTGCTTTATTTCTAAGAGAATAAGTGAAATCAGTGCTAAAAATCCCATTCCATGGCCCTAAAGCATTTTGAGCTTTTTTCATAGGCCGTCTTGCTCAAGTGTCTGTATGAAAATGAGAGTAAAGAATGAGAGTGAAACAAAATTATACAGTGAGGTTAGAGAGAAATTTGAAAACTGAAATGAGTTTATATGGGAGGTCAGGTACCCTTGCCACTCGAGCCATTCATTCTCTAAAGGACTGACTCAAAATTGAGCCAGAGTGTGTTTCAGCCTTTTGAAATGAAACAATACAATTAATAGAAGCTACTAAAGAAATATAGAGAAGCACTCATATTTTTATTATGTGAACAACTCTTAGAGCGAAAGTGGGAGTCATCGTGAAACTATTAAGATGGTAGATACGAATATTTTTGGAAGTTCAGAACAAGTATGACATTATGCCCTAGCTAATTGTGCAATTAATGAAAGCCATTGATCAAATCACTAGCAAACAGGAGTTGTTTTTCATTAAAAATAAAACAAATGTGAGATGCTTAAGAGAGGGAGAGGTCATGGTCTCTAAAATTTCTGAGTTAGTACAAATGAGATAGAGAACAACAGTCTGTGATCTTCTATATTCCCTTACAGAAAAACAGCATATCCTGATTTCATAACATAGAGATTAAAAATGAGAGGCTAAAGTATGTGACTCCTTTGAGAAACAGTGGTCATCTGGTACCTGTCAAGGTAGTTGGGAGATAAGAATAAATGGAATTATACTTAAGGGATTCTGTAGCTTAAAGACTTTCCAGAGTTTGTTTTTTACTGCTATGTAGCATCTCCTGAATCTTTGTGGAAACTCTGATATGTCTCTGAGACTATACTTAAAATGCTAAGACCTGTCATGGAGAGCTGTTGGGAAGAAGGTAAGATTAAAGTTTCTTCCCTTAAACTCTGCATCCACTGCTACAGAGAAGAGAAAATAAGAAAGCTAGGCAACATGTAAGTATAGGATACCTCATTTGAAAATATATTCTATTTAAAACAATTATAAACACAAATACATTGGTTAAAAATCAAGAACAAGTTTGTATTTCTCAGGTCTTAGGCAGTGTACGCCATGACCTGTAGGGTGATTGAGATGCAGTGTGTATGTCACCTTCTTGGAGAAGTTTTAAAGTTTTTTGGGGGAAGTAATTACTAAACCATTTTTTGACTATGGTAAGTCTCTAGACTGCATATCTGTAGTATCACATAAGTGTATTGCCTGAATCTCCTAGAATCTCTTTTATGGATTGTGTGCCCACCCCCAGCTTCTGCACCCTCTGCCCTCTTCAGAGGTCAGCCATGGAGTTGTTTCACCTTCAGGCACAAAGAGCCTGGAAGTGCCAAGGAATTTACATCCCCCCTCCCTCTCCCAGAGTGGCCTGTAGCCGTGTCTGACTGGAGCAGAGTGAAAGCCAGCTCCTTCCTGCTGGAATGCTAATACATAGAATTTAGACTTCAGAGGCCCTGTGGGATCAGACTGAGATTTAAACATTTCTTAAAGTAGCTGCCTTGATTTACTTCTTCCATTCCCTCCCCTGCTCCCCACACCTGTAAGAGTTTCTCCTGGAGCATTTCTATCCTTGATACGTCACTTGCACATGAATCCTCATCTCAACATTTGCTTCTGGGGAGCCTGAAATAATACATCGTCTTCTACACATGCACACACACACACACACACACACACACACACACACACAGGAGCATCATCTCAAAATATGTATTAAGTGAATAAGTATTATGCAAATGCATAGATCTTCTCCCCATACCAAGCTACCAGGGTATACTAGTATGGTGGGTATTAGAGAAGATAAAAATTTATATTTTATGGACAGAGAATATTGTGGTTATCCAAGATGATGATGAAATAAGGGCTTTAGCCAAGCAAGTAAACATCATTCAATTTCTTCTATGATAAAATATGCTTACAAGGGTTTTCCAATAAAATGGCTTTCTAAAAAATAAATACAGTTGATTTTTAGTTAAATGTGATGTCTTGTTGAAAATTTCTCTAGAGTCACAGATTGCACAGGTTTTGTTTGTTATCATAACAACTATATAGACTGTATGGGGAAAGGGTATCAAATCTACTACACTATATTAAATAATTTTAGTATGATTAATTATTAACATAATTCCCACAATTAAACCAATTGCTTTATAAAAAACAACAATGATATCACCATTTTCCTTATTTGTAGATATAAAAACTGAGTCATCCTCCTCCTCCAGAAGCCACCCCTACTCTAGCTGCAGCGAAGACGAATCTGCACCCGGCGACAGGGAGGCGCGCGCTGGAAACAGTGCAGACGAAAGCGCCAGAAGTTCATCTTCTCAGGAGTTGAGTGAAAGTGATGAGCCAGGAAAATCACACCTTCCAATCAAGGATTCCTTAAAAATTGAAATTGAAGATCAAGATATAATAAAAGCAGATGTGGAGACCAAACCTCTGCAAGTAGAGGAAAGCTTGGAGAATGTTCTTGAAGAAGAAACAAAGAAAGGAACCCAAGTGATAGCTGAGGGCTTACCTGAGAAGCCCAGGGAACACGTTTCCAAGGAAGAGAAGGAAAATTATAGGAATAATCTTTGGGAAGGAAGCACTGCTAAGGTGAAGGACAGAAAGGCAGGTCTCTATAGGGTGGAAAAAGGTGGTAAGTATGGCCATTGAGTTGGCCTGCCGTTGTCCCCATGCATGGAAGTTGATTTTGGTCATTGCATTCTACCAAAGCTTGGGAAATACAGTTGTGATAATGCCAGAGGGATTCAGTTTTGTCCTATTTCTTTCTCTGTCACATAATCATATATGTATTGTCAGCTTGCTGTTTTCCTTCTATTGCATTTTTAAAATTACTTGATGATTCTTATATGGCCTGCTTCCTATTTTCTGTAAATTTCTTCCTATGGTAATTCTATCTCAAGAATCAAATAAAACAGAATACATGTCTTGAAGGCAAGGATGTGTGTGGCTTTTTAGAGGTTAATACCAGCAATGCTATTTGTCTTTAACTATATACGCACTTACACACACCCATAGCTAACGTTGATAGTGCTTCCTATGTGTTAGTTCTAAGCATTTACATATATTAACTCATCTAATTCTCACAACAGCTCAATATCACCATGAGTTAGGTTCCATTAGCATCTTTTTTTTTTTTTTTTTTTTAACAGAATCATGACAAAATCATGGCTTGGGGATGTTAAATAAGTTGATAAGGATTATATAGCTAATAAACATTCTTAGGATTTGAATTTAAGCAGGGTGCTTCCAGTTTCTAAAAATGTCCTATTATATCTGTGCAATAAGAATTTTTAGATTTAGATAAAAATATAAAAATTTCATAGAAAACTCCAAACTTCACTTTGACTTCTTTTCTGAAGCTTATTAGCTTCCTCTTCCATTTGACAGGGAGGAAGGAGGAGTGTCCCAGAATAATCATGTCCCAGGACCTTAGATGCATGAAAAATCTGATACTTTTATCCACGTTAGGAGGATCATTAAAAAACTGAGTTGAGTCCTGTGAACAGTCAGACTACGCCTGCCAGACATTTGGTTCTCATATAGCAAGCACTCTGTGCCCTGTAACTTGTATCTCGATCCTTTCCCCTGCTCTCTCTCACCTGTGTTCCCTGCCTACATGTCTTCCCTTCCCTGACATTCTTGATTCCAAGTCAAAATTTGTTTTCACATTTAAATATTATTAAAATCCATTTGTGTTTTAAGAGTTATGAATACTTTCAATGCCTATATTTCTCTTAGAATTTTAAAAGCTGTTATTAAACCACTGGGGCCTACATCTAGGAACTGACAATGTTGAATAGTTATTTTTCAATTCAACCATTATTATTAATGCTCTGATATGTACAGGGCACCATGGTCAATAAGAAATGTGTAAGAGGGGATTCCTTCCATAAAATTTTGAAAGGAAGGCACGGCACACCAATAACTGGACAATGTTCAGTAGCTATATGTAAAACCAGAGGAGGTAGAAATGCTATGGGATTTCAAAGGAAGAGAAGTCTCATTTGGTTAAGGACACCTTGAAAGTTTTTGTGAAGGACTTGTTAAGAAAGCCTTAAAGGTTAAATAAGATTTGGAAGGTGAAATAGAGGAGAATAAAAGCATTCAAACAGTAAGATGTAGCAAAAGATATAGCCTTCAAATAAGTTGAAAGATAACTTTGGAACGAACAGTCTGACAACCTTCAGTCCCTGAACCAAATCTGGCCTCCTACCTTTCTTTTTGTATTGCCCATGAGCTAAATATATATTTTTAATGGGGTGGTGGGGGGGGAATCAAAAGAATAATAATATGTTGTAATGTGAAAATTATATTAAATTCAAATTTCAGTGTTAGAAAATAAGTCTTATTGGAAAAGAGTCATGTTCATTCATTTACATGTTCTCCATGGCAGCTTACCCACTACAGGGGCAGAGTGAAGTGGTTGCAATAGAGACCCTACAGCCCACAAAGCCCTAAGAATTCACTCTCTGGCCCTTTATAGAAAAAGCTTGCTAAACTCTGCCTTAGGATTATAACACAAATATCCCCAATATTTTCAAAAGGCCTTTGCCATGTATGAGTTAGGATTCTTGTTAAAATATATTTAAAACTCTTTTATAAAATAACCCAAATCTTTGATTTTGGATTCCATTGTTCAATTCAGGTACATATAATATATAATCTAGAAAATGTGTACAATTTAGCCAGCTGCTGATCGAAAAAGGTAGAAATGCTAAAATTCAGCAGTAACACTGACATAATTATTATTTCTTTTATTTCCACTTCAATTAGCTAGATTGTTTACCTGAATTTATATAAGTAGATATCTTTTCTGTGAAGTAAAATGCACACATGTAGGCTGTATTTTGGCAATGGATACAACAGCAGAAACACTGATAGGATTGTGTCACTTGGAAGAGACCGGGTTTTCTTTTTTTCTGGATTTGTGAAATGGATGTGTGTACACTTATTATTTTTCTCAAATATTATGGGAACTCTGTGTTCTTGACTTGATAACATCTATAATTTAAAACATTTTATTATCTTTTTATTAAGGTAGGTTCAAGATGAGATAGTAAGTTTTGTGACTATCTTTCTTAAGCTCTAATATATGTACTGAGTTGCTTTATCATTGTTTACTTTTCCTGAACAGCTTATGAAATAACATTTAGAAAACAGAAAAGTAGTTTTAAAAAAATTACCCATAAACTTATCACACAAAAATCATTTTCAACACTTGGTCAGGTTTTTTATTTCTAAACTTAGGGTTTACAAAGTTATGTTGTCATATTTTTTATAAAATGTATACTTCTTTTTATTCTTAACTTTATACCCTCAGCATTTTTATGTTTTTATGTAATCATTATGAATATTTTTAATGTCTGATTATTACATTTTGTGGTTTTCTCATAATTTAATCATTTTCTTATTGTTGGATATTTATATTTTTTCTTATTTTTACTATTGTTAATAGTATTCTAGTATCTTGCTACTTAAGGTAATTTCAAATTTATAATTATTTTCTTAGGCTAGGTTGTAGGAAGTATAATTTCTGGATCTAAGATTATAAAGATTGTAAGGTTTTTCCTAAAAACGTTTTTCTTGTAAAAGATTGGTTGAAAAATTTAAACAAGAATACAGAACAGATGAGAATAAAATGAAAGCTAAAGTGTTCCTTGCCCAGCCTCTACTCTTTCCCAAGAGACAGAGAGATAATGGTAGATGACTTTTTTTATAAGTGATTCCAGAAATTTTTCTTTATATATATATATACACACACATATATAATTTATTTATATTACATATACACATATTTATTATTATTATTATTATTGTTATTGCTAATCCTCACCCAAGGTTGTTTTTTCCATTGATTTTTAGAGAGAGTGGAAGGGAGGGAGGGGAGAGAGAGAGAGAAACATCAATGTGAGAGAGACATATCAAATGATTGCTTCCTGCATGCTCCCCTACCCGGCTGGGGATCAAACCTGCAAACCAGGTACATTTCCTTGACTGGGAATCAAACACAACCCTTTGGTGTGAGGACCGACACTCCCACTGAGCAACACCAGTCAGAGCACATATATTTTTATATTCAGATGAAAACATGATACATTTTGTTTCACAGCTTGCTTTTTTTCACTTTGTTTCTTGGCTATTTTTTATATCAGCACACATAACTGTACTTAATTCTTACTTACGAAACATGTTAGTTCATTGTATTGCCTTTACTTTATAACTTTGAAATTTTTTTAAAAAATATTTTTGCTTCTCTGCACGAAATGATATATTTGTTCTATGGCCCTCCTTCCACAACAGAACAAAATTTTCCCATTATGAAGGCCCAGAGGCAGATGTTATAAAGTACAGTGGAAAATAAGACATTAATAGGTAAAACAAAATAAAGACTATATAAAATATTCAGAATGATGTAGGATTTTGCTGTCAAAACCTAAGAATGAGTAGATTACAACAATTGGGTTTTGATGTTTTTAAAATATACTCAAGGAAATGATGCAATAAATATGTACATATTTGAAATAACAAAATCAAAGAAGTCATAAATATTCTCAAAGATCTTCATGTAGATAAACATTTCTAAAAAAAATTTTAGATACAGTTAACCAAGTTGTGATTGCATCATTTGTTCTATTGATATTGATCCTAAGCAAAGACATGATGGCCAGTTGTTCTCCCTTGAGTCTTCAGTTAGAAGCCTCAGGGAGAGAGAGATGGAACCAAAGTTACATGCCTGAAGTGAAGGTCATTTAGATGACTATGCTGCAAAATACACCTTGTATGACTTAGACTAGAAACCTGGTGAAGATTGAAATGTGTATATTTTACTTAGATTCCTGATTAAACCCTTAGGTCAAAATGAAATGGGGGGCTGAGATAAGGCATAAAAGATTATCTCTCATACTTGTATGGTGCTGAATTAATCATTTTTCAACTAGACAGAATAAAAACTGTGATTATATTAAAAATAAGTCTATAAGTTAAATAAAATATTACATACAATTAACGATGTATTATAGTATCTAAGCTATAGTATCTTAATCTGAATTGTTTCCATCTAAGATCATAGCAGTCCTTTCGAGTTAATTTAGTATTATAGGGCATAGTGTTATTTTCATGTGTTTATTTTTCTCAGATATTTTTAGTTTAAGCTGCCTTAATGCATTGGGATACAATCTTTGCAATATGTCTAATGGTGGAACAATTCAGGTGTATTTGTGAAGTTAATATAATTTATACATTATGAATATAAATAAAATATTAAGAATATAACAGTGTATTTCAAGGCATAAAGTAAAATGTACACAGAAGTAGACGTTTTATACTTTCATATGTGAATCAGGAGAAGCCATGGTCCTTGGCCATGTAATTCAAATCTAAATAATGTTATGACTAAAAATGAAGTGTAATTTTATCATCATACAAGCAGGATAGAATGGTTCTGATAAAATAACAAGAGAACCATGTGTTATGAGTTACAGTCTAAGGTAAACACACAATACAATATACAGATGACATATTGTAGAATTGTATACCTGAAATCTATATAATTTTATTAACCAACGTCACCCCAACAAACTCCATAAAAAATAAATTACAAGAAGAAATTCTTCCAAATTAAAAAAATAAATA